CCCATCGGATAATTGTTTATAACCACAAATGCACCACACGGGACTACATCGGAGTATTCCACATGTGGAGCAGAAGCTATATCGAGAATAACAATGGTAAAAGCGTTTATGAGCAACCATGTAATAGTTATCGTCATGCTTGGTAAACCCCTTTATGAGGCAATTGCGATAGTTAAGCCAGACGGAGTATCGTTTAAAGCTATTGTCACTGTTATTGTACATGTGTGTTGGAAGTGAGTATGTTCTGGCCAACTCACTCACAAGTGTTGGTGTGCATTCTTCGCTACTTCCAAGTAGTAGCAACGTATAATAATAACCAGTAGTGTAGTAGACATGGTCAATTTGTGTTGGCTCTATATCGGTAATTCGTGAGCTAGGGATCCATTCAAGTCCTAAATAATCTTTTGATAAGGAGGATTGGATCAAGTTATCAAGTGCTGTATTATTGATAATCCCTGACGTTAGCGACATAGTTTAAGGAGTGTTCCAACTTACTGTGTTACCTCGCACATTTAAATTTGGTAACAAAGCCATCAACCAATAAAATTAACATGTAAATTTTTCTTTTTTCGGTCCATATTATTGACCGGAGGTGCTATAAATTTTTCCGCCGCCAAACACTGGCGTCCTGCGCGTTTTGCCTAGATAACAATATGCTCAGGTTGTAATTTAAAATTAGGTAGTAGAGCTTCAACTTTACAGTACAATATAACCATGGCATTCTTCCTAAATTGAGGATATCACAACAAAATTTGCTCACACTTTTTGTACTTTCAACATATCAGTATAGAGTAGTGGTTGTAAACGGCCGATTTTGCTGTCTGCTATGGAATTATGAAAATTTACGCCTAACAAGTTGTTGAAACTCATGTACTCTGGATTACTTAGATTTCGAACACCAACTTGATCATTAGATCACTTAATCGTAATAATAAATAGTGAACAGACGTCTGAGAGACAAATGGAATACAGAAGTGACGAGTTGCGATAGTGATATGAAATTTATAAACTGGAAGCGGAATTACTTTCCTGGAGTAGATTTACCTTTTGTAATAAAAATTATATCCGTTTTATTTCGACATGTAAGGCAACCCACTCATGTCTATTACGGAAAGTAAAAAAATGTGCTAATTATTACATAATTATCGAAGCAAATTATAGACATCGTGCTGACACACACCCCATACTGCAAGGCGATTGAACATTAAATCTGATAACAGGAAAATAAAATAACCATAAAAGATTAAAAAAAAAAACTGATTACAAAAGACAAAGGCGAAGTGTCTCAAAATAGATAAAGTTGATAAAATACATTCAGCTTATTAAAAATGGGGGTGCTCTATCAATACAGAAATAGGTTAATTGGACAGTATTCTTCGTTTTCAAATGCTAATCACATCGTCAATCTTTTTTCAAAAACAAACAGTTCGAACAAACACTTCCATCCATCTCTACAGCATTACATAAACGTCAACTAATTTGGCGAACTTTTCGTCTAGAACTACACATAGCTTTTCACCGTACAAACAAGACGCAAATGTGAGACCGATTTTTGTTACGTGATTTCTGGATTGTCCGGAATAATTTCCCCTCTTCACTTTGACCAACAGACAGTGAGTTCATTATGCCTCGTTTATTATAAACGATCGATATATGAATCTGCGAAGATCGGATCATCTCAGTAAACGAATTCTCTAATTGGTTTCCTTAATATACAGAGTTTATCTTCCTAATAAGTAATATATATATTGCTTACTTGTCGCAACAGTTCATAATCGCTTGGTCATTAGCTATCATGATAATACATTGTTTCTAACAATTGCGTCGGACAAAACGGCACGCTCGCATTTTTGTTTCCCCTGACTTTTTGCTCCTGATACTGCGCGTATAACTGGAATAAGTTTTCAAGTTCCTTCTTTTATGATGCATTGAACGCTGGGCGTAAAATGCCTATCCTGTTTAAGGTAATAATACGAAAAGACGCCTTATCTATTTGATATCGAATGAGCGTCTGAACAATGGGATTTACGAATCTCGTTTCTACATCACCACATCTTGTAACTAACAATGTTGTTGCTTGCATTGTCAAAAGTCGGTCAATGATTCTGGCTCAATTATGCGATGAATTGCCCCTTTCATCAAATGCATTCCAAATTCTAGTCTTTCAATTCGACTTGAAATACAATGTACGATTCGAGAAATAAGTGTTTCATTTCCAGATTCAAATATTTTGATTCACGTGACAAATACTTTCGACTCGGCAATGCGTATTAACATATTTGGACAATTAAATATTGATCATATGATCAATATATCAACATTCTGCGGGCATATTCCCGAAAAGAAGACGGTAAAAGTCTAACGATGGCAAAATCGTAGCCTGTTTGTCTAAAAAGTTGAAACGTGCAAAGGAAAAATCAATTACTTGGCAAGTGATCAAAGCATACCGAACCAGCAGAATCCATCGCTAATTTTTCAGTGACGTTAACGTTAACCCCAGATGATAAGCATGCCAGATCGAATGTAGTAAAAATACATTCTGCGTATATCCATTATCTTATGAATTTGCCATCACGACCCAAGGCCTATTTCCCCTTTTCGACATCTCGAGCGCATTCCCTGTTCATACCCGAAAAAACCATGGCCCACCCCACCTGACATACCGTTTCACAAAAAGTCCCCGATTCGACTAATGACGTCACGTTATTTTCAAAACTTGTTTACGTTAACCCCGCACCCCGAACCCCGCAACACCATCTCTTTTTCCTTTAAACAACAACACATATTTTCTAATTACACCGCGTACTCATACAAACTATACCAAATGTCAGAAGAAGATCATATCACACCTAAAGTCGAAGAGATTGAAGTGCGTGTCCACGAGGAAAGCGATGCTAATCCCGAAGACGCAGAAGCGGTAAGTCGGAGTAGAAATCCAGGAAGGGAGAGAGTGTGTGTGTTTGGTGTGTTTGAGAGAAAGGGGGTCCAGGGAAAGGGAGATCAGGTTTGGGTACGAGAAAGGACGTGTGATGAGGGAATCTCTTTCTCCCCCAAGTTGAAAGTTGTTTGGAGTGCTCAGGAATAGTGTATAGAGAGTAGAATAGATGCAAGATACCCTCCCCAAGTAAAAAAAGAAAAAAAAAACAAAATATTAATAAAAAATAAATAAGTAGCTCGAAGCGATGAAACAAAGAGTGAAAGAAATGGAAGAAGAAGCAGCTAAATTGCGTGAAATGCAAGCTCAGGTTGAAAAAGAAATGAATCTAACTGGGGTAGAAGGTATAAACATAACAAAATAACTATCACTACCTACACGTTATCGCGTAATTAGATTGATAGAAGGGGGGTGAACATATAACAAAATCTAATTGAGTCTTTTATTGATATTTGTGTTCTCTTTTTCTTTTCCTTTCCACTTCTTTTCTATTGTGCCTTTCCTATGCGTACCGTGTTCTTTACTTTTAGACAAAGAAGCAATAGATGCAAGGTCGATTTACGTGGGAAATGTAAGTTGTGGGTGAATGGTTTGGGGAGGGGGAGGGCGCGCATGGGGTTGAAAAAGAATGTGGAAAAGAATGCAATGAGGGTAAAAAGAGAAAAAGAGGTAAAAGGAGAAAAAAGATAAGAGGGAATGAAAAAGAAAATAATCTACCGGAGAGAAAGAGAGGACGCGGTTGAAAACTAGTTTCGTTCTGGTATTGTATATATGACATTATATACTCTGTCCTCTCTGTCTTATGCGCATACTTTCTTATGATGCTTCTTTTACAGCAAATCTGTCATCCTCCATCTCACCACGTTTCGCTCGAAATTCCGTCACAATGTTCTCTTTTCTGATACTCTGTATCTGCTGTTTTTTCATTGCTCTTTACTACTCTGAGCTAACACATGGCTCACCTTCATTTTTACCTGTAAAATCCGACTCTAGGTTGACTATAGTGCAACTCCAGAAGATCTCCAAGCACACTTTTCATCGTGTGGAACGATAAACAGAGTTACGATCCTTTGCGATAAATGGAGCGGGCATCCTAAAGGGTAAGGGAAATGAATGTTGATGGTAGAGTGATCGGTTGTATCCTATTTGATTTTAGGTTGCTTTGTTGGTGGACGGTAACTAAATAGAGTCAAGTTTCATTAACGTTGATGCTGAAACATCATTCACACACAACAGATATGCCTACGTCGAATTTGCGGACCCGTCACTAGTTGCAAACGCAATGGCACTGAATGAAACTTTATTACGTGGACGTCCGATCAAGGTACATTTACATTTATGGTTCATCACATCACCGTCGGCAAAGATTCTTTAGAAATGTTTGATATATTTGTTCTTGTGCTTTTTGCAGGTGACATCAAAACGGACAAATATTCCAGGATTCAATAGAGGTCGAGGGCGGGGCGGCAGGGCAGGATGGCGAGGGGCAAGTGGGTTTTATGGACATGGGGCTTATTATAGTCCTTCTTTTAGAGGGCGTGCAAGGTAATGTTAGAATCGAGTAATTGAGAGTTACGAAGCGGGATTGCGAAAGTTATCGTAGACGTATTTGAGCAACGTGCATAAGAGTATTATCATACAATATATGCTACACGCATTAATTATTGCTACACATTCAATGCAATCTTATACTCATATTATGTAAAACCATTTTCATATCTTAAATATCACTCTCGGCGCTCTTATTGTCGCTGAACCGATTCTAAAACTGTCTCTCACACTTGCCAATCTAAACATTTTTCCAACAGTAGGGGCCGACGAAATGCATTCTCTCCGTACTAGAATAAATGTTACAATTAAATACAGTTAAATTCTATACCAAGCGATTTTCAACCTTTTTTTTCCATAAGGATCTAATGTTATTAATTTTGAGTTGAGACTCCTTTTGGTAACAACAGAGCAAGCAATGGGGATAGTATCGATAAATTATTTAGTCGGCTTGGCTCTATTATTCTCACTTGTCCTTTCAGTAATCGTGAACGGGACTTGTGTATTTGGTTTTTCTTCTTCTTTTTTTCCTTTCTTTTACCTGTTGATTATTATATCAGATTTATCTTGTAAGTCTCACAAACGAGATTGGGAAGTTGGTAGTATTTCATTAGAGTGTCTTTTTTTGTTTGTTTGTCTGTCCTCAGACCAGACTGGGCTGGTTATCTTTACGTCTGGAATTTAAAGTTCATATTTCAAACATATCTTTTAAAAAGGAAGAAAAATGTGATTTCAGTTTGCGTGTCTAGAAAAAGCATGTGATCTCGTTGAAACAGCAATAAACGATATTACATATTGTCACGTCATATAATCAAGAACTCGGGGGTGTTCGCTGGGTTCCATGGGCAACCTTTTGACGCCATTATGTGAGTACGCCATGCTTGCGCAATTGTATTTAGCCTGACCTTTTTTGTAAAAGATGAACGTCCAATAAGAATATATACAATGTCATGTCAGATGCTATTCTTTCCCGACACTATTTAAGGACTAGCGGATAACGAAAACGCTTACCGAGCAACATTATTTCAGGTAATTTTATTGACGTGATCATACACTATTCGTACGTGCATACCTAGTAGAGTAGAAACTGTGTAGTATTCAAAAAGTTGAATTCGTTGCTGCATCGTGAATGCATGTCTTTCACGAAACGATTCAAGTTTTCGTATTAGAAATGCGGATACAACAACTCGTCTGTATGTTATTGCATTCTGTTTGCAGTTTGCATTTTTGCAAGGTGTTAAATTGTTAGATTCGGCGTTTAATTTTTTATACATAATATCAATCAACCAGCCAACCAATCAAACGAAATGAATAAATATCTTGTGTATACTACTGGGAAACCCCGTTTCTCTTCTTTTGTTAGTTTACGAGTAACTAAGTAATAGCCTCTATTATTTTTACCCCCAAGAGAAAATGCGTAGCAAACAGTATAACTGTACTTGTTAAGGAAGAATCTACTATAGTTTTTTAAAGTCTGGTTTATTTTGGACGCCTCTTTTCGTATTAGAGCTTACGAAAAATAATGACTCGCTACTTGGGACGCTTATTGTAACGTATGCTATCGCGTATTTATACCGCGCGTTTATGTTAGAGCAACAATGTATAAAATACTCTAATGCTTACAAACCTTTATCGCATAATAATGATCTCAATTAAAATTAACTGTGTGATTATTTCAATTCCATTCTAATCTTCACCCTCAACCATTACGTTAGTCTGGTTTGTACAGAAAATGCAACTTGGAATAAGGTTGTATTGATCTACTACAAATTCGATCCCTATCGTGATATTGTGAATCATTGTCTTTACAACGGTAAGTAAATGTAGCAAGTTTATGCAATTAACTACATTAGATATGTCGGAAAGTATAAACTACCCATTATAACGGCATTATTTGTTGTCATAAAAAGTTTAGCCTATTTGATAATATGTTTCCGAATAATCAAACTGTTACGTGTATCTAGTGCATGTATGCAATAAGTTTGCGATTAAGGTCCAAGTTATTAATTTCACAGATAAAAAGTATGCTCATACGAATTAGGAGACTGCGTTATATAATTAAATTGATAAAAGAGCGGCTAACGAAAATTTTAATTAACTATAATGTCGTTCTTCTTAACTATATTGGTTATTATGTTGGTATATTTTCTACTCTTGATGGTAAGTTATTAACAGCAGGGTTATTATCAAAAGAATTGCTTACTTGAAAAAACTTTAAAGTTAAATAATTAACTCACTCTGAAATAAAATGACTCAAGCTGACATCGTAAACACGATAAGACGTTTATTTAGAAATGTGGATAAATAAGGCATCCATCGTCGTGTTTAGAGTTTTTTCCTGATCGTAAATTAAACGCAAGGCGATTGGATTGCACATATTACTCTTTCTTAATTTTAAAAAGATGTTATCTTACACAAATAAGAGTAAGCATTATTTCAGTTGTTTACAAAAAAATTTGTGTAGCGTTAGACAGTAATATTATTGTTTTATGTTGAAGGCTGTAGTCCTGTCGTTTACGAGTTTAAATAAAGTAATCAGTCCATTGATAAAATTTATATATCTCTTAACTTGTATGCATTGTAATGTAATTTTAGTAAGTGCGCTAGAATTTACTAATAATGTACGTCTAACAAAATTTTAAGGTTATTTTATTTGCAAACCTTTTTACGGCCTAGATTAATAAAGAGTATATATTATAATAATCTTTATCTATAGTACTCAGTAAACCTTTTGTTTCATTAATATTAACAAACACTAAAATGTTCAAGTCGATAAAAATTCTTTATTAGAAATTACTCAAAAAGTTGTCTTGTTAAAAAAAAGAAAGTACTTATAAATATCATTTTTTAAAGAAAGTGCTTTATACCAAACCATATGTCTTTTTATTTATACGGACAGGCAAAGTTGGATAGTAAAGTTTTTACACAGGTAAAAGCGGTTGCGCATCAATTCCTTTTATAAAAAAGCTTTGTCAGTGAATTCTGCATTGTCATTGTCTCACCATTCATAGTTTTTGAACTGACAAAGTTTTTTGGACGAGTCACATGGATACAAATGCCAAATATGCACTAGTTTGGTTCTTTTTTTGTAAAAATGTCTTTATATTTAGCGTATAAAGAACATGTAAAGTAATCGACGCGACATGCAGTTTCACCAAATATCATTTAATTCGCGTAAACATAAAACCTCGATCGTCAATCTTAAATGATGAATATTCAAAGTGGCATTTTATCTAGGAAAATTTTTTATGAAACAAAGGAGTGCATGACGATAACAGGCTACACTGTATGCAGTACTTTGTGATAATGACAGAGTTGGTGAAAGGGGTAAAAAAAAAAACTGCTTTTCCGCCAACATACCGGTTATTGGATCGTTGAACAGCTTTCCGATTAATGGTCAATGGCACATTCAGTGCTTTTGCAAAGTTGAATTGTCACATTACCATTACAGCATAATGATAATTAAGCATGCAAACTCCACATTCTGAAACGTAGCAATGCAATGGTGATGGCGATACACAAATGCTCATCTCGTATGGATAAAGAACGAGGAAGGGAGGACTCTTCTTTTTTTTATATATAGAATGTTGGCGTACAGACTTTGAAAACCAAATTCATCAAATTAGAACAAAAAAGTGAATTTCCAAGTCTATTTTAACTATTTCGCGCAGGGTCAGTGCAATAAACCCCCAATTTCAACCCTCGGTCGATTACACAGATAGAATGTAAATAGGGGTAAATTAAATGGGTGGTACGTGAAGTTATGATCCCTGAACTCGTTCGTGGCGTCTCACTTTTGGCCTAAAAAGGCATTGTAATAAGTCAATGATGTGACAGTCGGAAAATTTGTAACGGCCCAGAAGTAATTTTCATGTGTCTATCATGATTCTAATATATCATTTTATTAGTTGATATGCCTTTTGTACTTGTAACTGCTGATATTGTTTAGTGGAACAAATTATCCAAGTCCCCGCAGTACATAACTTCTTTTCTTTCATTCATTCGACAGTGTTATATTGTGTTCAGTCATAAAAAGTCTAAATATTCGAGGTAGGACTGTTCCTTAGCCATCTTTTATAAACACACATCTCTCTCAACTACATTAAACGGAAAAACAAAAAAAAGAGAGTCTTTTCTCACTCTAGTCTCCCTTCCCCCCTACTTTACAAAAAACTCTACACAAAAAAAGATAACTGTACACTCCATCCAGGCCTACCTTTTGAAACCTTGTCGTTCAATCTAAACTTCAACACCGGCCCTATCCATTTCACCCTATCTCAGAGTCGTCTTCTAACTATATACCTTCCTCCCCCTTTTCGTTATATTATGCCATGGAAAAAGGCGAATTGGTAAAACGTCTATCTCTTCTCGAAGACCAGAAGAATCTTATGCTGGCGTCCATCACGAAAGCCAACAATCTTTCCCTCTTCGACGACCACTCGTCGACAAATTCCAAGGAAGAGGCTGATTCTGATTGCGACTCGGTCGAGGCGGAGAAGCTAATTCCCTTGGATTTGGTCAACTCGGAGGCTGTCTTGCTCGAACATGCCGGATTTACTGCATTCGAGTTGAGGGTCAATCATTTGGAAAAGAGTGTCTGGGGCTATGATCCAAGTGGCAATAAGATGAAGAAGGATTATGACCAGCACATGTCGTTGTTGACTAGAGTAGAGGAAATTAAGAAGCAGTTGAACAACGTTGTCAGGGATAGAGAGGGTTTGAAGGCTTTCTTAGAACAATGTAAGTCTCTTGGCGAGGGGGAATGAAAGTACGATAGATAGGCTTTCTTACAGTGTTAATTTCGACTGTATAGCATTTTACATGATTGTGCCCTTCCCTATGGTCCCATGTTATGGATTTGCGGCGATCTGCTTTTCGTAATTCTAACACAAATTCTCCTTCAACATTCTATCCGTCCTCATACATGCCTCTGTTTTCCCCCCTCCCGTCTTACTCCCTCTCTCTCTCTTAGACGACCAGGTTGCGAATCTAGTCTCGCCGTTCACTGACAATATAGCCCTAGAACGCCAAATTCTCACACCCGAAGGCAAAGCAGAAATAGTCGCTGCTTCGTCAGAGGAGTTGGAACGAGTTGCGAACAGTTTGAGGGAAATTGGAGAATTGCAGAACTTTATTGATGCTCCCGAGTTTAGAGGTTTGTATTAATGTGAGGAAGGGCGGATGGTCGGGAGAAAGGGACAAGTGTGACGTATAAAGAGACTATCGAGAAACGATGGGTGTGTGTGTGAGATAAACGCAGATTATGGTTGTTATTAATTGGCATGCAGTGTATGTCCATGTATGTTATATATATATAAGATTAAGGCGGCGATGTTTATCTTTGTCACAACAAGTGACGATGTCGTTCATGCATGTATCGCACATTTCATATTGACCCTTGAATTCATTTCTCTGTATTATTAGGTCTGGAGAAACTATTTCCACTTATTACACCCATCGAGTCTGCACACATTGACCAAGCTGCTAAATCTAACGAAGTATCAGCACGTATAACACGATTACTGGATAGATATAATAGACTTGTAAGTACCGACGGATGTTGAAGAGTTGACCAGTCTTTACCGATTCGCATTTATCTCACCTTTTTTCCTTTATTCAACAGATTAACACACTTTCAGAGATTTTCATCGCCTGGGATCAAATGCTAACAACCATTGATGTACACATATCCGCTCTAGAAAGAAAAGCACGGCAATAATTGCATCATTCACAATTAACATTCATCCTCATGCCAAAGTCTTTGAATTCTGGAAATGGTTGTTTTCATGAGGTTACTTTCTTCCAGGATTCGTAATGTGTAGATTTCTTATTATCTAGTTTCATATTTTAACTTTTTCCTTTTTTTTCCTTCCTTTCAACAACTAAGATTACTAACATTAAAAAAAAAAGTGTAATAATAACTATTAAAAAAATGGTTGATAACAGAATTTTCGTCCTGAACGATTGATTAAATTGATGTATTGGTGTTGCGACCAAACTTTTCCCTTTACAAGTAACTTGTGAATTTCAATGAAAATTTTGGATCCGGTTCGGTTCTGTCGTGATATCGTTTTAGATCGTAAAATTTGCCCTCTGCTGACAGTTTAGTAACTTCATTTTAGTTTGAATTAAGGATCTCGTATTATTAATCTAGCCATGCCATTTACAACAGGCGCCAATAAATACGAATTTGCTCAGGAAATTAAGCATTTTTCGTAGTGTACTTGAATGATGTATTGTTCATGGTTGTCAGTCAACCAGTGTGGCTTTTGTAACTCGGATGAAACTAAAACATAATGACAATCGCCGCCAAGTCGCATAACCCGCCATGTTGTGGCGGGCTCAAACATTATCCCTTCATTGGATGCCCAGCTGCCATAAATAGGGGTACCCCATAAATAGGGAACGGACCAGAACGTGATCCTGCATTTATTGCTGCCAATGGAATTGCGTCGTGAAAAATGTTTGGCTACCATGGCATGGATTAATTTATACATAGTAATAGGTAAAAATATGTAGTATACAGGGTGGTAATGGTTTGTATAGCGTTATTACGAAGAGGAGCGGTCTGAAGAATGAAGAACGCAATTATGGATATGGAGCTTGAATGAGATTTAGTTAGGTTAGTTGTGGGCTTTAATCTCCTTATCAATTGTGTCTCCATATTTCAAAGACAAATTTAAGGGTTCAGAGTAGTGGTTGAATGCTTAATGTATTAGTTGGGTTAGGACACAGTTTTGATAAAATACCTTCACCTTCATCGTGCTCTGGAGCAGTATGTATATTCAAAGTTAAAAAGGCTGACAGGTTTTAGAAAATATTTTGGACACTCGTGATGAAATTATTGCGTGAACGTGCCCAGATTGCATCTTTCATACAGCAGAGACTTCAGTGGAATTATGCCACCGCCATACAGCAACGCAACCACCACAGTTTTTGTACAATTCGCGTTTTGTGTACCGATATACTGCGTTTTTTAGATACCTTAAAATCAAATACTGATGACCTTGTCCAGAAGTACAATGCTGATATGAATAATAATAATAATGACAAACATCATGTAATTTTCCAGTTCAACAAATATTTGGGCATCTATCCTGAGACCAACTTTAATATTGATATGGAGTTCTTACAAAATCTGAGCAATGTGATGACGGAAGTTAATGATGACGTGGTGACAGGAAGCGTGGATGGCAGCGCGGATGAAAGCGTAGGTGAAAGCGGAACAATAAATTAATAATTTAACAATATATTAGTGTTAGGTAACAATGCTAAAAATAGATTAATTGGTACAGTGAACTCTCCCTAAATGCACGCCTTGGGACCATAAATCTAAGAGCGTGCATTTAGGGAATAATGCAAAAACGTGCATTTAGGGAGAGTATAGTAAATTCACGTAATTCTGATACTTTATTCATTTATTGGTTAAAATATTGATCTATGCTTGTTTGTCGCATCGTATTAGCTTTTTTCTCTCTAATATATATTTCTCAAGAATATTCGCCATTTTTATGCATTTTCTTGTAGTAAAAATACTCCGCACGAGCTTTCTTATTATCGCGAGCATACAGGCAAAGTTCGTATTTTTGCGAATCTGTCAAAGTTGTCTTACTTTTGGCGGCATTTTTATTAACGGTAAAAGTTCAGTACAATCCTCTTACTAACAATTAGTTATGACCTTAAATAGAGGCTAACTGTTACAATCGTAAATTATTATAGAATATGATATTAAGATGTTCTGACCATTGATGTCTAAATAAATACATGACCTGATGTTAACAGACAATGTTATTACAGAACTGCGTAAAGTGGAATGATTATAATCCGATAATTTGTCATTGTCTTATGACCTGGGTCTTTAACTCGCCGAATTTTCATTGGTATGGCATTGACTGACTATACCATGCTGGATCACGTGTGTGCATTTACGGAGATTATTCTATATACACAGTGACTCTCTTTATAGTGTATCGAAAAAATCTATTAGCAAAAAATTCTCAAAAATCCACTATATTGAGAGTTTTTGAAAATTAATTAGTAAATACACTAT